CACAGAGCTGTGCATGCCGCTGGTGTTATCACACAGAAATTGATGTGTGCCCTGCAACTGATCAATCAAACAGAATACTGCCTGAAGACAGAAAAAACTGAGAGTGTCTTCAAAATGCACCCGCCCCAGCCATTCATTACCCTATAAGTCACACACAGGAGACTACAAGATTCACAGTTTGTATTAAACCATGATCAGTTTGTCATTCTTAGAAATTGCTAGGAAAACATAATAACAAAATTGATGAAATAAATAAATGAAATAACCTGAATCTCACAGTATTAGAAAGATACATCTTCATATATGAGTCACAAAAATTTGTCACCCTTTCAGAACATAGTATACCACATAACCATATATTATCATGTATTTTACTGTCTTGTCTTTACAGTATTACCGTGCTTGCAATGCATAAAACTGGTATCCGTGTTTCAGTGGTAAGCTGCCTCAATTCCATGGTGGAAGTAGTTGGGGTATCAATCAAAAAGAAATAAAATATGTAAGAGTAGTAGTATTTTTGTGTGGGTGTATGCAGATGAGTAGAGTCAGTGCCCAGCATTAGTTTTACAGATAAGAAAACTGAGGATCAATCTATTGAGGCAAATTGCATGAAATTTAAAGATGAAACAAGTGCAGTATATTAGTTAATTTAATGAAGGTCTTATTTTAATTTTTATTACTTGCTTTAAGTAACACAGTTATTCTCATTTTTGAGATGAAGAATTTAAGGCTCAGAAAAGATACAAGATTTGTTTATGTGCTGTAGGGATGCTGAAACAAAGTCCCACAGACCAGGTGACTTAAAACAAGAATTTATTTTCTCACATGTCTTGGGGCTAGAAGTCCAAAATCAAGGTGTCATCAGGGCCGTGGTCCCACGGAAAGCTGTGGGAGAATCCTTTGCCTCTTCCAGCTCCTAGAAGCCTCAGACACTCCTTGACTTACAGCTGCCTCACTCCAATCTTTACTTTCATCTCTGTGTTTGTTTTCATGCAGCCATCTTCTAATAAGGACCAGTCACATTGGATTAGTATGACCTCATCCTATCTAATTATATCTGCAGTTTGACCCCATTTTCAATTGAGGTCACACTCAGAAGCACTGGGGGTTAAGACTTCAACATGTTTTTGTGGGGAGGGGGCATAATTCAACTCACAGAACTTACCTAAAATTAGCAAACTAATTTACAGCATAATTGTGATTAGAAGTTTGATGTCTCACCTTATTATCTCTTTACCCCTTCCATGGGAGCAGAAAAGCTATTTGGGAATAGGCAGGAGATGAGAGCCAAATTCACACATTTTACCTCAGACCAGTGTCAAACAGTTCAGACAGTGTTGGTGGAATGGGAGAGGCAACAGTGAATGAGAGGCACAATGGACTTATTGTCATGTATAATAGATTATGTTTTCTTGGAGATGGATACCAACAAAATAAATAGCCAATCCATCAGACAATAAATACAAATATGATTTAAGAGACAAGTGTTGGTTCATGACAAGCACTATGTAGAGAAATAACAGTCATGTGTGATGTGGCAAGCCTAGAGGCTACTTTAGTGTGGGCAGTCCAGGCATAGCTAACCTGAGGCCATTGCAGGTCTCTTCATCAGATGGTACACACAAACTCTGCTCAACTTTCTCAGGGAATTTCTAGTTTTTCACTGTCACAATTTACATACAGAAGGCCTCATGTCTCTTCTGGCTCTTCTGATAGTTACAAAATTCTCATTAATACTTCAATATTATATTGTGGTGAGTTCCCATTTCCACAGGCAAAAATGTCTATCCAAGGCTGTGCTACATTTGCATTGTTGACACAGTCTTACCATGCCACATTCTATTTAGGAGGTGTGAAATCTGCTCCAGGATTCTTGCTGAATTCCACATTATAGGATTGAAAAATTAGCTATTGAATCCAACACTTAAATCCTTGTGTCCTTTCACAGAAGAGATGAAGCAAGACGTCAACTATAATCTGCTCCTGCTATAGACATGCCTATCTCCTTTGTTGCTCCTCTCATGATCTCTTTGGTCTCTCACTTCCCATCCAAACCTAGTCATGCTTCCTGCTCTATTCCTTAAGCTGCTTCATCTCTTCTAAGACCTTGCTTTAGGGATAATTCCATTCACAGATTCAGTGCCCCATTGTCCAAAAAAATTTGTATGTGTGTGCATATGCATGTGCAACTTTCCAGAATTCATTGTCCCTTATAAGCATGACCCCTGTGGGATATTAAGCCAAGGCAAACTAAAAAAAAAAGATAATGGTAGCTTGAAGAATTCTAGAAAAAGTTTATTGGCTTCCTAGGTGCTCTCCACAATATGGAAATTAATACTGGGGCCAAGATTGGCTCAGATTTTACCCTGGATTTTACAAAAATAAAAATCTCAACAAATTCTGAAGTCTGCTTTTTCCAATTCAACCCCATCTTTGGGATGAGAGTTCACAAGGATTCAATTGCTCCACACTTAGTGGACTAAGTGGACTGAGTGGGGATGGGAGGTCCTTGCTGGAACGAGCTTTCACTCTGAGATAACTTCTCTGTGGACAAACAGACTATTTATATCTTTTCTTGTCTCATGTTGAACTTTAACACCTTTCTCACAAAAAGTTCAGTAAATACTAATGGCATTCTTCATAAAGATATTCTGAATGAATTAAAGGGGAAGAAAATGTTCAAAGAGAGCAGTATGTAGATATAGGACATTCAAAACTCACTGAATTAAGAAATTTCTAGCATTTGATGGAGAAGGTATAAGGTAAGGAAAGGTCTGCACACCAGAATTTACCATGAGATAATCTAGCCTTTGCCCTATTTTCTCCTTCACTTTACAATCTAATTTCTTGAAGGAGGAGTCGTGGTCTCCACTTCCACACCCCTCACTCATTGAACAAACATCTTGTTTTCATTCTATTAAACCACTGAAACTTGTCACTGGAGACTTCCATAAAGCCAATAACTCACCCGATGGTTCTACTACTTTTGGCAGCAAACACTATCCCAACCTAGAAGGACTCTTTCTTTGGATCTGCAGACATTATTCATTTTTCTCTTATTGCTTATACTTCTCTTTTTCAGTTCTTTTCTAGAAATTTTTCTTTATCCTCTTACAAATTGGTATCCTCCAAGGAGACCTTCTCTTCTCACCTTGGAGACCTCAGTATAGATCTTGCCAACTATATAATGACATATGTGACCTCAGACAACTGATGAAACTTGTTTCAGCCTCCATGTTTTTAATTACAAAGTAGAGATAATCATAGAACCAACTTCAGTGGGCCACTCTGAGAACCAAATAAGGCAAAGCCTGTGCAATGCTAAGGGAATTAGAGGGCACAGAGCAAGCAGGGAAGAGGTGTGATATTGTCTCATGTCCATGTCTTCACAAAGCAGTTTCTTCTTCATAAACTGTACTCTCTGCCCTGCTTAGCTTGTAGAAACTCTACTTACCCTTCTGTGCCTCTTCAGCCACCATTCTTTAGAAAGGTAAAACTTATTTCTTCCCACCCCACCTCCATGGCAGAATGAAGTGCCCACTACCCACATCTCTAATTACACTTTACCATTATCTCCAGTAACATAATTGTTTTGCTGTTTATGAGCTGTTTTATTTTATCTTACTTGTTGGTCTTCCTTTGTAGACTGAGATTTTTAATGCCAGAAATTTTGTCTTGTTCTATCTTATTCCCATCCCAGAGGGACTTAGAATCCAAAATCTATTAATTACTGTATTAATTATTTATTCCTGCTTAAAAATTACCCCCAAACTTAGTGGCTTATATTGGTTTTCTGTGGGTTACCATAACAGATTGTCACAGACTGGGTGCTCGAACAACAGAATTTATTATCTCACAGTTTTGAAGACTAGAAGTTCAAGATTAAGATCTTGGCAGGTTTACTTTCTCCCGAGGCCTCTCTTTTTGGTGTGCTACCTTCTCACTGTGTTCTTATGTGGTATTTCTCTGTGTGCACATTCTTTGTGACTCTTCTGGTAAGCATACTAGTCCTATAAGATTAGGGTTCCATCCTTAATACCTCATTTCTACCTTAATTATCTCCTTAAAGTCTCTATCTCCAATTACAGTCATGTTAGGCCCCGGGGCTTTAATATATGAATTATGGAGGCGCACAATTCAGCCCCTAACACAACTAAAACAGCATTTATTACTCATGATTCCTCTGAATCAGGAACCCGGACATGCCTTAGCTGGGTCATCTGTCTCAGGCTCTCTCCAAGGCTGCAGTCAGGATGTCATCCAGATCTGTAGTAATAAACTCTACTGAGAAGATTCTCTTTTAGGCTTACTCACATGTTAACATAATAAGTTCATTTTCCAGGTTGTGGGATTAAGAGCCTTAGTTCCTCACTTCCAGTTGGCCGGAGGCTGCCTTTGCTCCTTGTCCTGTGTGTCTTTCTAACCATCAGAGAAAACACTTGAGAAGAGAAAGAGAGAGAAAGGCAGCAACAGAGTTACACCCTTTACCTGACCTTAGAATTGGTATGCAGAACACCTGTTGTACACACTGTTCATTAGATTTGGCTAAGTGAAGCCACAATCTGGGAAGGAACTACACAGGGCATGAATTCAGGGGGCAAGTGTCACTGGGACTGATAATGAAAATGTTGCCTACACAGCTGTCTGCCAGTTCAGACCTGGGGACAGGGTTACGCATAAACACAGAAGGCAACACTAGTAGTGTTGGAAGAAGTAATCATAATGATGATGGCAATGAAAGCACAATAGTTCCATTTGTGTCATATTTGAAAGTGCATGAAGTACTTTCTTAAAGATTATTTCGAAGAAATTGAACTTTTGGCAGAACACATTGCCTCAATCTCAAGAGCCCTGAGTGAAACTAAAAATCATGATAAAGTTCCTACACACAGCATGCACACCTGCCATCTGGTTGAAAGAGCACTAGTTCTATTTCTTATTTCATCATATGCATGGACAGGCTGCACGTAGCAGACTCTGAGGAAGCTATTATGGAGGATCTGCTTAGGGGGACCAGGATGTTCAATGCCACTGACCTGCAAAGGACCAGAGGTCACTTGCTCCAGGTAAGATTTAAAGGGACAGACATGTTTGCTTTATAAATCTTTATATCATTAGTACACTCTGAGTCCAAGATTGATTATATATTCTATGGTCAAGTATCATAGGTAGTTATTTTGAGTTATTAAATATTTAATATCTGCCAAGTTTCTTTTTCAGACAAGCTAATTATGTACAAAATCTTTTATTACTAACAATTATATACTGTTAGCATGATAATGACTGCTCCCCCTGAAAGTAAGGTTATGAGAGATCAGGATAAATATTCAATTTTAATGCTGTTTTTAAGCTCTTTCTGATTACACAGCAAGATTCACCCAGGAGCCTTAGAAGCCCCTACACAATAAACAAGTGGCACAGAACATGTTACTAGGGCAAAGCATTAGTTGGCAGAGCAGTTTTATTGGTACCTATGATAGGTAAAATTGTCATCCCAAAAAAGACATGTTGAAGTCCTAACAAAACCTCAGAAAGAGATTATTTATGGAGATAGTATTTATATAAATAATAAGATGAAGGCATTAGGATGGGCCCTAATCCAAACTGAGAAGTATCCTTATAAAAGGAGGAAATTTGATTGCAGAGGCATACCCAAGGAGATCACTCGTTGTCAATGGAGGTGGAGATAAAATGGTTGAATGAATAAACCAAGGAAAGCCAAAGACCACCAGTAAAACCACCAGAAGCTGGTAGGAAGAGATTCTCCCTCTTAGCCTCAAAAGGAACCAACCCTATGATGCCTCGATCTCCAATTTCTGGCCATCAGTCTTGAACTGGGAGGCAATCAATTGCTGTTGTTTAAGCCACTTAGTCTGTGGGACTTTGTTACAGCATCTCCAGGAAACTAACATGGTACCTGTACTTATTAGCCAGTAACTGAAGCTCTGGAATTTTGGGACAATCTCTTTAATGCTCTGATAGGTCCTTCCCCTGTTCAAACTTTACAGACCCATTCTTTAGAACCCCAGTGTGAACCTCCTGCTCATTATGCGGTTTCATTGCCAGAGCTGAGAGGGATAAATCCCCCAGGAGTTGGTCTCCAAATGGTCCCATTTCACAACCTGCTCACTTGTGTAATCATATATAGCTTCAACATCTTTTTAAAAGATTTTATTTATCTTTAGAAGGGAAGGGAAGGAGAGAAGGAGAGAAATATTAATGTATGGTTGCCTCTTGTGAGTTCCCTGCTGGGAACTGGCCCACAACCCAGGCATGTGCCCTGACTGGGAATCGAAACGCGATCGTGTGGTTCGCAGGCCCATGCTCAACTCACTGAGCTACACCAGCCAGGGCTTATAGCTTCAACATCTTAAACTCTGTACATATTGTGTTAAGAGAACCCCAGATGAGATATATAACCATAGTAGGGTCTTTCTGGCTATGCCCTAAGTGATATAAAGATGAATTGAAAAAAAGAAAATCTTGTGCAGATATGTGCATCTATAACACACAAATGGGACTAAGTAAGAAATAGATAACATACAAAAATGTGTTTACTTATTTATTCACTCAGTGTAGAAACATATTTTCAGCACATACTTTTGGCCAGATACCATGCTAGGTATTGAGGGTAGGGAAATAATTGACAAATTGTAGGTGGAATCCTCTAATTTTGGTTTTGTCTCCTTGATCATTTAATTTCTAGATGGCTTCTGATGCACAGCAACTCCCTTGGGTCACCAAAATGACATCACAATTCCCTCTGGCCCTGGCTGTTCTGACCCAGGGGTTGCTGCATCAGCTGAAGGAAGTGGAGCCCTGACGTAATGCTTTGGCTATTCCAGCCAAACAAGCACTGGTCCTACTGAAAAATGATCTTGTCTCATTATCTGTCTTGATTAAATTTATCAAATAATGTCTCCGTTCTCTATTTCTTCTGTATATACTAAACTGTTAACATTCCTCTTTAAATCAACTTTAATGTATATTAAAAGTTTCTGTCATGACAGAAAAGCCTCCATGGTGTGTGTGTGTGTGTGTGTGTGTGTGTGTGTGTGTGTCTATGTGTCCTTGTATATTTGCCCTGCATACAAAACCTCCACAGATGATGCTTCAGGGTGAGAGAAGAGGCAGGCTAATTTTTTAAAGATCATTGAAATAATAAGTCACCAGAATGCTAATTTATGGTAAATAAGTACCCCCTACCTATGACATACCCAAGTGGCATAGGCCGGCAGAGAAAAGATAACACACCACAAAAATATGTTGTTTCCTTCTTGTTCTGATTCCTCTGGTGCCCTGATTTTGAACAGCCAGGGCCCAGTGTCTTATGCTTTTTGTCTTCATCTAAGCAGCAAAAGATGTAAAAAAGAGTAGAGAATACTCGAAACTATCAGTGAGAGCAGAAGCAGTGACAAAAATAGAAAAATCCATTCAAAGCATGTGGGTCACCAGTCTCAGAATTCCCAAATTGGAGTCGGCTGAGAGGAGGGATTCACGCAAAGCTGATGGCCTTCACCCCGAAATGCATGGGGGAGGCAGAGCTAGCTCTGTTGGTTCCAGCTTTGCCGTTCTTCTGATGAGCTCCCATTTGTTATTATTTCTGCAGCTTGTTTATTTTGGACCCTCATGCAGGGGATCTGAGCAGGGGACTGTCTGTGCCACCTTATCAGGCAATCTCTTTTAGGCACCTAAACCCAGGACAAGAGCTCTTGAAATACCTCCTGTGCCAGCCCATTAAAGGACTTCCTGGGGCTTCCTGTTCCTCTGCAAACCCAGAGGAAAAGGTCTCACTTTCCCATGGTCTTTCTGTCTCCAGTTTGCATCCTGAGTGTGAACAGTACCTGCTCCTGCCCATTTGGCTGTGCTCTCCACTCTACTCCCGCATATCAGAGGCTGCTCAGGAACCCTTTTGTCATCTATCTAAGAAGAAACCCCCTGTGCAATTAAGGAGAAACAGATACAAGTACACTGCACAGACACAAACCAACACAGTGTTCCCTGTTGTGTTATTCCCATGCCCCTCAAAATAAGGTCAATCCAGAGACATGAGAGAAAATGAGCAGAGTCACTCACTGTACTCAGACAAAACTCAGCTCATTGCCACTTCAGCTTCTCCTGACCATGGTGAGCAGATTTTCCCAGTTCCTGAGACTGCTGTTTACAACTTTCATCTCTCTTTGGCATCCTCGCCCCACCATTTCTCCCATCCTTTTCCCTGAAAAAATTACCTCTCAGCATAATTGGAAGCAGGCAAGTGAAACTGAATCAATTCACAGTGGTCCTCAATCTCCCAGCTCGTAATAGCCCACCAGTGTTTCATATCCATCTCAGAGGAAAGGGAATGGAGAAGGGATGTCACACATGTGGAACACCTACTCTGTGCCAGGCATCTATCACCATGACTCAATGTCCTGTTACTATGTCCCCAAAGGTACTCCAGGGTACTCTGTGATCGCTGAATGTAATTATCTTCATTACTCTTGCTCCAGGCAGCCAGCAGATACACAGTGTCCACATCAGAGCATCCTGTTCTTTCCCATTTCATCTTCCTGTCCCTGCTTTCGTGAGTCACAGCACCTGTGACACCCACACCACTAGCTTCCCAGCACCTGCCCTCAGGGTTTTCACCCTGTGGCTCCTTCACAAGAGCTGTTCCATGAAAGCAGCAGCTTCATTTAGGGAGCCGGGGGAAAAGAAGAGACAGAGAAAACTACCTGGAAAGCCTAGCCTCTGCCATATGCAAATTCGTGTATGCATCCTCACATTACAGAAATTAAATTACTGAAGCCCCAAGTTCTGGAGAAGCTGATCTGTCCTACTCTAAAGTCCTCTAAGGGTCAAATCACTTTATCTGTGGAATTCTGTTGTGGACTGCTCTGCTTGGTTTCAGAAATTGTAACTATCCCCTGTGGCTAAGGATGAGCTAGTAACCTCCAGAATGCAAGCCACAGGAGACAAAGCTTGTCTCTGGTAACAGATGCTGCCTCAGTTTCCTCTCCCTGCCCCCAAAGCATGGTATATATTGTTGACAGGTAAGTCCCCTCAGAGGGTAAGCAACCTAAGCCAGACATGATCACTTGGGAGGCCACAATGGAAGGACTCGAGGGGCTGCAACAAAGAGCAAGCAATGGACCCATGCCCCCTGGGCTATGTGACATAGCCTGAGTCCCCACATCCTCTGGGAGAAGCACTTCCTGGCTCCAATCCCCTTAAGCCTGAATACCTGTTGGGGAGAGGTGCAGCTCCTTGCCTTGCTAGAGGGTGTCGGGGGGGGGGGGGGAAATCTGGCATCACAAAGAATTCCTGATAAACCTGTGAAATCTGCTCTGCTAAGAGTGCTTTCATTCATATGTTAAGGGTTCAAGCAGGAAACTCTAAAACACTCTGCCTGACAGACTCTGACTCAGACTACCTACTGTTTGATCCTTGCTTCCCTGTATTCCTGTGTATTACAACCCAATAAAAGCCCCTGTGGGAAGGGGCTCAAGGCCTTTTTCCCCTGAGAAACTGGCCACTGCTCACAGCCCTTCCCCTTTGAGGGATCGGCCACTTCTCCTCCCCAACCAGATCATGTCTTGTTTACTTTCATCCATGGCAGACAGGCACTTTTGGGAAAAGTTGCCCCCACAGAATTCCTTTGCAAAGTCCTCTAGAAAATCCCTTCCCCGAACTGGGGAGGTGAACACAGAATCAACCCCTCACTTTGGGCTGGATGTCAGCTATCAAAGTACCACCTTTGTGCAGGGCACATAACTATAGATTATATATAAGACAAGGGGTAGTATACTTATTATTTATGCTCATATTTTATGAAAAAAATATTCTAGAAATAGTGTTTTATTGGGTCATTTGTGTGCAGGACAACATTAAACTGTCTGCATATAAAATATTTTCCAACATTCTAACATCACAGAAAAAAGTATCTCATTATAGAAAAAAGTATCTATTTTGATATATTTCCCATTTTAAGCAAATATTTGTACTTTTAATTATTTTCTGTACACTGTATTGTTGTTCAGATTTGGTATTGCATTTAAAGCATTTACCATATTATATCAATATTATTCTACCCATATTTCTAGATTATTATAAAGTTTCCATAGTCATTAAGCAACCAACTCAGTATTCTATTGAACAGATAAATGAATGTGGTTTTATTAGATTCTGTATTATGTTTCTTTTTCATCTTATAAACCACTCTGTTAAACTGTTTCTTCATCAAGTGTCTTTCTTTCATAATTAGATGTACTACCTTAGAATGCATTCCCAGAAAACTAATCATTGAATAAAAAAAGGATATTTTTACTTAATTACTCCTTAAAATGTTGTACCAATCATACTCTCCTAAGTGGATGAAAAGCCTACTTCAGAGAACTCCTATCTGTATTGAATATTATAGTTTTAAAATTTTTGCCACTTGACAAGGGATAAAAATAGTCCTTCATTGTGTATTTTTAATTATGCAACACATAAATTTAAATATCTATCTTCTCAGATGTTTGCCTATCTGGAATATTGTTTACATACTTAGTAGCTCCCCCTTATCCATGGGGAATACATTCCAAGCCCCCCAATGGATGCCTGAAACCATGGGTAATACCAAACATTATATATACTTTTTCCCCTCTACGTATGTACCTTTTCACTTAAAGGATGCACTTTACATCTGCTCTTTGGCATATTAAAACTGCCAGCATCACTACCCTTTGGCTTGGCTGTCTTTGTTTAGTTAAATGAGGGATACCTGAGCACAAGCACTGCAGTACCTTGGTACCTTGGCAGTTGATCTGATAACCTAGATGGCTACTAAGGGAGTAAAGAGCAGGGGGTGTATATAGTGTGGAGATAGAGGCAGGTCAGAGGAATCATTCACGTTCCAGGGCCTGCAGAGAGGGTGTAAGATTTCATCATGCTACTTACTCAACACAGCACAAAATTGAACACTTATGAACTGTTTATTTCTGGAATTTTCCACTTAATATTTTTGAACTTGGATTTACTATGGGTAGCTGAAACAGTGGAAAGTGAGACTCTGGGTAAGGGGGAACTGCTGCAATCAGTGCCTCCACCCCCATGCCAGGTCTGTACTGGGGCATTTAAAAAAACTAAAGACCTGCTTTTTTCTTAATGACTCAATGATGTCACACATGTGTTGCCTCATTCGTAAGGTCAAAGAGAGCCCAGGCTGGAGTAACCCCATTCTTCCTTGTGCCCCTACATACACTATATATAAATCTCTACTGTGTTTGTAACTGAAAACCAGGGCCAGTTACCTATACTCGGACAGAAATTCCTTTCCCCTGGCATCCTGGCGTGGTGACACACTGGGCAGGACTGGGCAGCAGTCATGGATTAAAACTAGATGAGACCCACTTCAAGTAGAAATGCACCCTCTGAGGTCCAGGGTGTTCTGACTCATGGAGAGAGCTTGAAGGTACAGAATACACAATTTCCAGGGGGTCACCAGGGACAGTGGTAAGCTGGCCACTACTATTTCTGACACTTGGTTCCCAAACAATATAACCAATTCTCTGAGCCTACTCCCTTCATCTACCATGGAACTTCTAGCATTTTAAGGTAGCTTAGTGCCACCCATCACTTTTGCCAAGCATCCAAGAGCACTCAAAGACTTAGCAATTTTCCCTACCTTGGCACTGGAGCCTTGGTAGGGTGCTAAATCTTCTACTATAGACACATACATATCAGTAGATTTCCCTTTCCCCTGTTCAGCGTGCTGTTGTATCATCCATCCACATATATCATTTCCTGGTTTCTGTTGAAAATATTAGCCAGACTGTGTAGCCCCCTCCCTTAGCAGATGCTGCCCTTCCTGACCTGGGCTGTGCTATGATTTAGAAGAAAGGTAAGGGCAGATTCTGAGTGTACTTGGTGGGCATGTCTGCAAGGCAGAGAAC